GATATCTATAGAGAAAACATCTTTTGATTTCTAAGGACACAAGAATTTTCAAATGACAACAAAGCATCTCATGCTGTCATAACATGAAAGCTTAAGTTCTCACAACTGAAATACTCTTAAAGCTTCAAGCTGTTGGCTTCATTTTTCATCAACAACAAATGGCCATACATCAAATATAGAAGAAGGGAACAACACAAGCAATGCCTCACTTTTGATAAAATATACAAGCAAGATTGAAAAATAAATCAACAAAAGTCAGATGAAGAAGCTGCAAGGAAGGAGAGAAAGAGAATAGGGTAGTTATGAAAAGAAGAAAATTGTATATCTCTTTAGTCTAAACTATTTGAATAAGTGTTAATGTAATATGATTTTGAGATAATCAAAGGCAATACAAAAATAGAATGGGAAGATCAATGTTTGTTTAATAGATTCATTATTGTCCTTTGAAATCAAATTTTGCTCTGCACTTCCATTTCATTTAGCAGGATAAACATTGTGCTTTTAGAATATCCATTAGTGTTTTTGTGAAAAATGAGAAAATTTTTAGAATACCATTTGTGATTTTAGAATATCCATTTGTGTTTTCATGAAAATTGAAGAAGCATAGGCTATGATTTTTTTTTTCTATTTTTTTTCAAAATATGCATTAGTGTTTTCATGAAAATTGAAAAAAATTTTTAGGATATCCATTTCATGAAAATTGAGGAAATAGAGGCTGTGATTCCATTTTGTTCATATGTAATGAGCTTCCATGATATATGCAAGATTTTATTCCTCATAGGCAATACTCTTCTGCATATGCAACACTCTCTTACAAATGCAAATTTCTTTTACGATATGCTATGTTCTTCTATTACATGCAGCCATTCTCCCACATATGCAACACTCTTCTGCATTGCAACACTCTCTTATGCGCAGATGCAAATTTCTTTTACAATATGCAACATTTCATTCGTTATATGCAACACCCTCTCGTCATATGCAACATTCTCCCACAGATACAAATTTCCTCCACGACATGCAACACACTCTCATCATATACAACTGTCTGCTATCAAATGCAATACTCTTCAATAGATGCTGATTTCTTCCATGATATGCAATGTTTCTTCCGTCATATGCAAGATTATTATGTTATATGCATATGATACTGAAAGACCTTATGTGACATATTGACACTTGTGAACATTGTATTTGGTTTGGGCCCTAATAGATAAATAAGATAATATCCATAATAAAAATAAAAAAAAGAAAATAATAAGAATGAAAGTAAAAACATATTTTACAACAAGAAAATATATAAAAAAAAGTTGGATGCGAAGATAATGAAAAAATATATAATCAAGCTAGATCACAATATAATAATTTGAATAATTAGAATATAATATAATAGTTTGAAGATTTTAAGATAATATAATCTAATATTATCTAAAAATTTCAAGATAATCTAATATCTAATATTAAGATTTGAAGATTTCAAAATAATATGATAATCTAGATATTATAATAGGAAAGATAACAATTAATATCTAATTTCTAAATAATAATAATAATAATAATAATATAAGAATATATAAACTATTAATATTGATCACGATAGGATTGAGATATTAGAGAAACTCTAGGTGTAAGGATCTATATAAAGGAGATAGTTAGAGAGACTCAAGGGGATAGTTAGAGAGAGGATGATAGATATTCAAGCAAACCGAGATTCATAGAGGTAAGTTTACCTTCTCTCATCTTATTTAATTCCTTTACCTTTATATAATTTACAGTTTATTAAGATAAATTTTTCATTTGACCTCACGTGCTCCTTGAATGCACATTATTTCCTTGACTTATTCTCTCATCTTTAAGTATGAATTGAAATTTATTTCTTCATTGGTCCCTTGTTTTACACGTAACACTATGAGAATCAATTTCTTAGTCCTTGCTTGTGTCATCCTTAAGTCTCAAGATGCGAGAACCAATTCTTATTTTCCCCTTGCATCATTTATTCCTCTTGCGTTATTTGTTTCCTTGATTGCATCATTATTGGACCTCAAGGTGTCGAATAAGAAGAAATTTTTTGAAGTTACAATAGACGGCTTAATGAATAAGCTTAGCATCATTTGAAAGGTATTCATCAAGGTTTTACCTAATTTATTTATTGTGAGAGACTTTCAGAGTCCTCATAAAATTTTAAGTTAATTAACTTGACATACATGGGAATAAATTATCAACATGTGCATCTACAAGGTGTTATATTTTTGATTGCGTGAGACTTTTTAGAGTCTATGTAAACTTATAAATTAATAAATTAATTTATTATCCTGTACATAGCAATAAATTATTGCATATACATAGTTTTGAAATTATCAATTGTGTGAGACTTTTAAAGTCCTCGCAGATTTATAAATCAAATAATTTATCTTATGCAGTGATAAATTATCACGAGTACATTTTAAAATATTTTATCCTTAATTAAAATAAAAGGTTTTCCTAAAATAAATAAATAAAATAAAATCAATCATACTTGAAAGATTGATTTGGATACATGAAATTTTCATAAATCTTATCAAAATATTTTTTCAATTTTCAAGATTATCTCTCAAAATTTTGTCACAAATAAAGAAATAAAATATTTTCTTAAATAAAAACTACAAACCAACATTAAAACTATTTTATAAAATTTAATAAATAATATTTTCTTTAAAAAAATCTCAACTAAAAGACACGTATTTTTACCCTGAACTACATGAGCTTTGATCCCTTAAAAGTGTATGTAAGCCCTAGAGTTTCATCCTAGGTTAAATCCAACTAATAAATAAATAAAATTTTTCCTTTTGAATTTTCTTACTTTTTATCTTATTTTTATTAAGTATAATTAATATATCTTTTAAGGCCATTTAAATTTATATAGTTAGCTTAAAGTAACCATTCACATGAATGGGTATTATGAGATGCCTAACACCTTCCCCGCATATAATAGACTCTCTTACCCTTTTTCTCTACATATAGACCATATGTCAAAAAAAAGTTTCCAAAAATAATTGGTAGCCAAGGACTTAATGTCTCTACTCTTTTTTAGCAATAAATATGCTTGTCAAGTCTTTTTGAGCAATTTTAAATCCTATACTCTTTGACTTTATTTTATTCTATTCATATTTTTAATTTAATAAAAGTTTCACTCTTTGATTAGATAACTTAAGTGAGACAAAAACAACTTTTGTTTATGTCCAATTCCTTTTCATTTAGTTCTTTGTGAGATGATCTTGATTCACTATACTATGTTATATTTGTACACTTGCGGTGCATTTAAATTTTTTGCACATCAGCAACTAAAGTTGGTAAAAGTAGTAGAGGTTCTTGTCATTTAAATAAGTGGTTGGAACTTGGTGGTTCAAACCCTAGCCCTTGTGTATATATCAATTTAATTGTGAGAAGCCTGCACATTTGCTCTAATTACTTTCAGGGATGATGGATTTGATGGAGAGTATCTCATGATTTAAATTGAGAACCATATATTCTCTCCCGGGGAGGCTGTTTTCTAACTAGTCATCGTCATAGTGGTGGAAAAATTAATTTGGTCATCCATAGTGAAACGTCTTAGAAACTTCAAAATTTGGAAGGCATCACTCCATTTAATATATCAATAAGAATTTTAGCACCGTCAATCACTCAAAAGAAAATTTACACAATTTTCATTGAATTGCCTTGTAATGTTTATAAAATGATTACTCTTCTCCGAGAAGGGAACTTTCCAAGTTCTTTAAAATTAGAATAGATCTAATAGTTGACGCGTACGTTCAAAGACAAAAGTCGACTTTTGTTCTAGTCTCACAAGCATGTGTGAAATTACTTTTCTTACACGTCCTATGCTGCAACCAAAAACTTTTAATAATTGAATATTTTACTTTCGGGAAACCAATATTAAGTTTATCATCGTTAAATAAAAACAAATATAAAACTACCAATATGAAGAATTATTTAAAAAATAAGGATGTTTAAAGTGATCAATTTCAATATTTGCAACTCACGAACTATATGTCAATGTGGGGTTCCAATTTTGGACCTCATGCATGCAAGGGGGGGTGATAACACGGTGTTGCCATAGGACAACTTACCATTAGCAAAACATAAGCATTTAGTTTTGTCTTAAAAGTACATGCTTTAACTATTTACTTCTTTTAGTATTAAATTCAACAAAAATTTTAATTTGTTAATAATAATTTTTTAATAATATTTTTGAAGTATATGACTTAACAGAAAATAAAAAATCAATAAAATTAACAATTTACCTAGCTAGTTGAATTCGTAAAAATTTTATTATTATTATTATTTGCTTTGATTCGAAACCTTGATTTCTTGGTTATGATTTATGCATAATTATACTTAACATTTGAAAGGAAACTAGTGAAAATATATATATGTACATAAAATATAAATTACAAAACAAGTTTACACATTATAAATATCTCACATGTTAAAATTATTTCATTCTTATTTCTTTTTAAATTATAAATATACATACATACATACATACATATATATATATATATTTGATATGGTATCTAGTATTCAGTACTTCCAGCTGGTAATAGGGGTAATTTTCCTAAAGGCATTTTTCAGTTAGTATACAATTTAAAACATGTTAATAACTCAGACCCTAGTTTAACCGCCAAACAACCTTGAACCAGTTTATATATAGAAAATTTTAATACTTAATTTGTTCCTAACCACAATTTCTAGAGAACATCCTATCCCTCAAATTATATTAGTTATGCACGCAACTTGGGTAATATAAAACAAAGTGAGTCAACAATCATCAATGACTTTGAACGCTTTGGCCTAGCCAGTTGCAGAAGAATAATCAATTCATAAACTTATTTGCAAGGGAATTCAATTTGAAATGGCACACGTTTTTCCTTTGAGTGATTGACGGATAACTAGAGAGTCTTTGCCATTAATAAAAGTGGTCTGGTACCTACCAAACTAGTCGCTATATATAAATGATGGTTCAATGAGTAGCCTCGACGTGCTCAAAGTATTTTGCTAAATACCATAAATAACTTTCTAAGGACGAAAGTTAAGCAATACCATCGTGTCTTCCATAATGCTGCTTCTTGTGATGCTATCGTCCATTGCTCTACAATTTACAGGTCAGTTCTCTCTCTCTACCTTGCTCTATCTATCCATTATATTGATGCATATAATTAATTAGCCACCTCTATTCAGGTTTTTCATAAAACAATTACTTTCAGTCGCTGCACTATAATTAATTATCATTGTATTGTTATTCATTGACAGCCAATATCATATGCTTTCTTAAATGTACTAAGAGGTCATTGGGGGGTTTTTTTTTTTTTTTGGCTGGTTCTAAAAGACTCCAAATAAAGTTTTATTGTTACTTTTGGCTAATTATTTCTTGCATAACATCAAGCATTCAATAGCCGTTAAGGTATTATAGGAGAATAACAGATGGGACCTTTTCATTTATTTTTTATTTTTATAAAACCCTCACAAATATTCAAGAGCATTTTTTACCCAAATTCATGAGGAACATTGGGTATTCTAAGCTATTCATTAGAGCAATATCACTCCTCAAGTGCTAATATAAGTGTTATGAGAAGTGGACTAAAGGAGTCAGTTAAATTGAGAATTGATTCCAAGTCCAATTTGGCCACAATAGAAAATCAGCAAACTTGAGAATTAGTAGAACTGGCCTTAAACCCATCAAAATTGGAAGTAGAATTCGTAGGGGAACGAAAACGGTTTTATGATTTTAAAAAAATTAATTCATATTTCCAAACTACAATTTATACATATCTATACATAATCATTGGAAAATGCACAATAGACATGAAATATGTATAAAATAAGTACATATGTATATATTTTCAACTTATAAATTATAAATTATGAAAGAAGTGTGTGTGTGTGTGTGTATTTTGGATGAAAATAACAGACTGTTTATAGATATTATCTTCTTTATTAAATATTATTTTGTTTTGGACTTTAAACATTCTTCTTTATTATTCCATAAAATTATTTCTTTTTATTTTAAATAAATATTATTTAAAATATCTCAAGGAAAAATACATATTATTTAAAATATTATTTTCTTGGATGAAAATAATGGAATATAGTATTCCTCAATTTTAAATTATATATTTGTAATTTATTTTATTTGAATCAAAGTCCTTGTAGTTTTGATTCATTACATTAGTTATATATGTTAATTTTTAAAGGTTACAATTATTAATGAATAATTAACTTTCCCAACATAAAAACACCTTTGAAGTTTATAGAAAATTTGACTTGATACTTTTGCCTAAAAAAGGGGAAATTTTGACTTAATACAATGCTAACATTTTTATTAATTTTTTCATGAAAATTCTGTACGTATAAAAATTATTTAGAAGACATAAACTAATAATATAAATTTTAAGTTATAAAAATTATGTAAGTAATTTTAAATTTATTTAATGTTTTAATAAAAATATAACATTTCTTAACTTCATTTGTTTTAAAAGGAAAAAATCAAGAATTTTAACCTTTCAGAGATTAATAAATCTACAGGATCAAATTATAAAGGCTTTGATTAAAAATAAATAAATTACTTGAACCTAATTCAAAATTTGGGAAAAACTATATAGACATGTAGATTAATTTTTTTATTTAAAATATATCAATTTTTTTTTGTGATAGTTTGAGTCACTATTCAAACCACGGTTTAACTATATACAGAATTGTGAATTAATTATGCCTCGACTGGTTTGATGGTCAATCCAATATTCTTTACATTGGTTAATATCATTGCAATATTGCCGCTTAACTAATAGGCATGAATGTTGACCAATAAATTTAGATGGATGCTGGGTAAAACAGCAATTTTTCACCTAAAGCATTCATAGAGAAACTACTATCACAAAGGCCAAATATTTGGAGCAATATATGCCATCTCTGGTTAATTATTTTACCAAAACATGTCACATAATATTTAAGGTGTCACATGAATTGCCAATTAGGCATTAATAAGTTAAAAAGATCTATTAGTATGTACTAATAATGATCAACAAACGTACCATCACAAATTATTTATATCTATACTATCATAGACTATATATAGGTATCATTATTCTGTCCTATAACTAGTTAGGATATATATACATATATACATAATCTATGTCAACACCATCAATTTGTAATTAGTGTGTGCTAACATATACCCTTTTTTTTAACCGACGAGTCTTTAGCTGACAAGCCAAATAGCATCCATTTTTTTTTACTCTAGATTTATGGTCTTAATGATTTAAGAATTTTCAACTCATTTTGTTCCATATTACGCAGCTGTGAAATCCATAGGAGTTTGTTATGGGGTGAACGGAGATAATCTACCAAGCAGGCAAGAAGTGATAGATTTATACAAGGCCAATGGCATTGGAAGGATGCGCATATACTATCCAGATGAAGATGCCCTTAAAGACCTAAGAGGTTCAAACATAGAAGTGTTGCTTGATGTGGCTAAGGAAACCCTTTCCTCTCTTACTGATCCTGCATCTGCCAATGATTGGGTTAACAAATTTGTAACATCGTACTCAGATGTCAACATCAAGTACATCGCGGTTGGAAATGAAATTAGTCCTAGTGACAATGAAGCACAATATATTCTCCCTGGAATGCAGAACATTCAGAAGGCAATTTCCGCATCAAATTTGCAAGACAAAGTTAAGGTCTCTACAGCAATAAAAATGGATCTGCTTGAGAATACTTCCCCACCCAATAATGGCAAGTTCAGTGACGCTGCAACTCCATATATACAGCCCATTATTAACTTCCTTGTCAACAATGGAGCACCACTTCTTGCTAATGTGTATCCCTATTTTGCTTTTAGTGACCCAAATAGCAACATTCCTCTTGACTTTGTCTTGTTCAGGCAACAAGGGACAAATGACCAAGGGTATCAAAACCTATTTGATGCAATGCTTGATTCTATATACTATGCTCTTGAGAAGATAGGAGCACCAAATTTACCAGTCGTTGTGTCTGAAAGTGGGTGGCCTTCAGCTGGAGGAGATAAAGGACCTAGTGTTGATAACGCACGCACTTACTATCAAAATTTGATTAATCACGTCAATCAAGGGACTCCAAAGCACAATGGGGCTATTGAGACTTACTTGTTTGCCATGTTTGATGAAAACAATAAGGGTGGTCTAGACACTGAGAGGCATTTTGGTTTGTTCAACCCTGATAAGTCACCCAAGTATGGAATCAATTTTAGTTAGTAGTTCTTAGAAAAGAATAATATATAATAGCATGTACTTTGTAGGATAAGACTTGTTATTGTTGTTGTTGTTATTGTAATATGTCTTGCTTGGAATAAGCATGCCACGAGCATGTTCATGTTTCTTCTTGATTAATGTATTAGAAATCAACATTCAAAGTTAATTCCCATAAAACATTATTTTAGTTACAAAAGTTCTAATAAAATTTGTAGGCAATGTTACTTTGTATTTTTAGTTAATTGATCTTGAGTGAGTGTATAGTGCAAGTTGGGTGTGCGTGTGTAATTCAGTACTTTTGTTGAAAATGCTATTTAACTCATGCTTGTTCGAAAAAATGTAGTTAATTAATTTCTTTAGTTTTAATTTATATATCTTTTTAATCTAGATTTTGTTTTGTATTTACTTTAACTTCGTTTGTGGTTTGAGTAGCTCAATTTAGAGGAAAGTGTGAGAATTAATTTATACTTAATGAAATTTTGCAATCAAATCCTAAACATGTGAAACCCTAATACAAGGTAATAATGCTAGAGCACTGTTACTAAATTGTAATCATTTGCCATGATAAAAGAAGTTCTTTTCTTTATAAGTTCCAAATTCCAAAATCTTCAAGTCTGCCAGCAATGAGGTGCACAAGTAATAAAGTGATAATTTGCTCCATGCTGGATGTTGAAGGATATGGCACTCAATATTATACAATAATCAATAAAGGGGATTGTAACCATTTTCACATTCTCAACCAGTCCATCCTGCTTGGCCTTGTAGTTGCAACGTGTGGAAATGTTACCCATCAGGAAGTGCACTAGAGCTTCGGGGAGGTGTCGAACTACTTCTCTACAAAGATGGTTTAAAGTAGCAAATCAAGCAAGGGCCTTCTAACTCTTTAGAAGATCCATTGTCAATTTAAATAGGCATCCTCAAAAACATGTTACCTCTTGGAGGCCTATTAGAGCAGATGCTTGCTTGAAGAAGGCTTCTTCCCTTTGGCATTACTTTAGGACTTATCTCTAATGAAGAGTCGTGTATGGGGGCAACTGTTTGGCCTGAAATATCCTCTTGGGCCACATCAGCACCACACTAGTGAAATGGTGTGTTCCAACTTCAATTATCCAAAAGAGCCACTACCCCACATCACCTTGAAATAGTAGAGCACCTCCTTGACCTCTTAGAGCACTGTGAATTTTAGAAGCGTGGGAGCGGTTATCCCTCCCCCTTTAAAGGGAGGAATTTGAATTCAAATATGGAGCAATCCCTTCCATTAAAAAGGGGAAAACATATAGCAAAGGGATCAATCAACCAATAATCATTCAAACTCCCAGACAATAATGTTTACCTTTAATCTTGCAAAGCTTCACCCAACATGACTTCGTAACATAGATCTTAGGCCTAGCATATCACTAGTTGTAGCTTCGAGAAACCCCAATGTTCCCTTTATCTTATACTCCTTTCCAATTCTTTTGAGTATTTGATTTCTACCTGGAGCTGAGTCTATTGTGTAGATGGTTATATTAAACTAAGGAAATTGAGGTAAAGGACCTTGGAAACCCACATCACTCTGATTTTTGACGCCAAGTGGCAGGAATAACCATTCTTGCTTCTTTGGAGCATAGAATGCTCCATACTTGTTATGGTCATGCTTCAAATTTTAAGGGAATCGTGTAGTGAATAGTGATGGTTTTCTTTGGAGGTCAACTCTTAAAATGTGTCATTTCACTTAAGCAGGCTTTGGATTAGCGCCACATCAGGATTAGGCTTTGCATTCTTGAATCTTTACCGCTAATCGATTGTGCTAAACTCTGCCCACTTAATTAATATTCAAGCCAAACAATAGTTGTAACACACCCAAAAAAATTTAAATAAAAGAATAAAGAAATTAATAGAGAGAGAGAGAGAGAAAAGAAAATTAACTAGTAAATAATTAGCAATTAGATTTAAAAAAAAGGTAGTTTAACCAAAATATACATAGTTATTAGAACTTGATCGGACTAGCCAGTTCGACCGATTTAACTGAGAACTAGCTAAGTATTCGGTCTAGAGATGATGCAAAGCGAAGGGGAGGGAGAACCAGCCATAAATCGCCTGAACCGAGATCGAACTAGACTGAATTGAGGGAATTGGTGATTCAGGCGATCCTACATTATTATTTTTTTCTTCTCCCCATTTTGATAAAATGATGTGATTTTGTCTTACAAAAAATTTTGTACTTTCTTTTGGCAAAACCTAATCTGAAATCTCTCAGCCTCTCACAATCTAGACTAGAGTCCACTGCTCTACTTTCCTTTGCTCTGTCAGGTGAGCTATTACAGAATCAGTCTAGTGACCTATTGCAAAACCAATTCGATGAGCTTCTATAGAACCAGATCCAATGAATCTTATGAGCTCTTACCTAGTCATATTGTTTGCATTCCTTTCCTCTCTTTCTCAATCTAACCGTCATCCTACATCTCTTCAGTTCTTCTCATCTTCGTTGGTTCTTCAGCATCTTCATTCTCAACTGACCCCTCATCTTCGTGCTATTCATTTGTCAGATTCCAGATTCCTTTTAATTTCTTCCACTTCTAACTCATGCATCTCTTCTGCCATCTTCAATCTTTATTAACAGGTTAGAGCTCCTACTCTTGAAGCTCGATCAAATGTTTTATAGTTCAATAAATAATATCTATTATTTATTGGTTTTGTGATTCTAGCCTTCTAGGTATTAATTTCTGAATGTTAATTTTGATTATATTTTGATTAAGATTAGTTTTTTTTTTATGAATTTGGAACCTCCCACTCTTACCATCAAGCCCAATGATGCAGAAAGGGGAAAGAGAAGGGGAGAGAATATAGAAAAGAGAGAAAGGAACCAATAGAGAGAATAGAGAGAAGATAAAACTCAGAGGAGAGGCAAGATAATAATAATTCTTATTCAATCAAATGTGCAAACAAATCAAATGAGTTGAGGTACTATTTATAGGCCTCAACTCAACCTTAGAATGAAATGTATGAAAATCTTAGAAATTCTAAAATTAAATAAAAAGGTAACAATAAATGAAAAGATAATAATAAATGTTGAAAGATAACGATAATTCAAATTAAAAAAATATGCATAATTAATATGAGAGCAAAATATCTTTGATCTTTAAATATGTAATATTTTTGTATTATCTTCACTTATTTCTTTTAATTTTCTTCCCACCATTTCCCTCTGACTCAAAAGAACTCTCCTTTGGAGAGGTATGGAGTTGGCAAGACTCAAGCAAAGTGGGATCAATCTAGCAAAATTCCTCTTCAATAATCCAAGTAGCATTTGAGTCTGAGAAGTCTTTCCAACAAACAAGGTAGAGGTGAATAGGACCAGTAGTGGTTAAAACAATTTGTTCATCTATGATCACATCAATCTTTTCCCTAGTGAGTAAAACATTTGGCAATAAAGGGATTGGAGCATTGTGAGGCTGTGTACTTGTAGAATCATCACTAAATAGTGGGGGAGGCTCAAAAGTGCCTCGATAAGAAACAAGATCCTCAATATTAAAAACTGGACTAATAGACATATCAAGAGGTAATTCAAGTAAATAAGCATTGGGACCAAGTTTCTTGAGGATTCAAAATGGCCTAGAGGCCGAGCATGCAACTTTTTGAAAGAATTTTTAAGATAATGCTCAGGACGAATACAAGCTATAACATAGTTACCTTCATTAAAATTTTGAGCGCAATGATGAGCATTAGTTGATAATTTATATTGATCATTACTAAGTGTTAACTTGTGCTTAATTTTAGCATATAATTCATGAAGGCGTTGTACTAGTGATTCTATAGATTCAGAAGTATGGGTTGTCACAGGAAAGGGTACCAAGTCAATGGGTTGTTTAAGGTTAAAACTTTGGACTATTTCAAAAGGGATTTTTCCTGTGGACTAATTGACTAAACTATTATATGCAAACTTAGCTGTAGGTAAGATTAAATCCCAATTCCCTAGCTTATATCTAACTAGACTTTAAAGTAAGTTACTTAGACTATGATTAGTCACCTTAATTTAGCAATTAGTTTGGGGATAGAAGGTAAAAGAGAATTTAAATTGGGTTCCAAAGAGTTTTCAAAGTGTCTTTCAAAAATAGTTAACAATTTTGACATCTCTACCAAAGACAATAGAAGTAGGTAACTCATGCAAGTGTACAACTTATTTAAAGAAGAGCTTGGCTAAGTAGGAAGCATCAGTAGTTTTATTACAAGGTATGAAGTGGGCCATCTTTAAAAACCTATCCACGACAACTAGAATAGAGTCATGTTGTCAATCAATGTAGGGTAATCCTAGGATAAAGTCCATGCTAAGATCTTTCCAGGGTGCATCAGGGATAGGTAAAGGAGTGCACTAATTAGTATTTTGTTTCCTAACCTTAGAAGTGTGATAAGTACGACATTGGGACAAAATTCAAGCAATGTTACTTCTAAGAGAAGGTTAATAAAATCTATCCTCAACTAAAGTGATAGTTTTATCTCTACCAAAATGGCTAGCTAATCCTCCCACATTGAGTTCCTAAATGAGGAAGTCTCTCATAGATGTTTGAGAAATACACAACTTAGTACCACAAAAGAGAAAATCATCCTTAATAAGGAAAGATGTGTGGTTATGGCGAGCTCTATTACCAACTTCTTAATAAATGACTTTAAAGTCAGGACATGAGATATCATCATCCTTTAGCCTCTCAAAGCCTATAACACTGGCCCTTATAGTGTGCAAAAGGTTAACCCTACAACTTAGAGCATTTGCAACTTTATTTTCAATTCTTGCACGGTGCTTATGAAGGAATTTAACCTATTTGGCATGTTTGGGGTTTAGATAATGTTAAGAGTTTATGAACTTAAGAGCTTAATGATCAAAATATACAATTGTTGATGGAGAAGAAAGTATTTTCAATACTTAAGGGATCTAACTATGGCATAAAATTCCTTATTATACATAGAATACTTTTGCTTAGCTTCATTAAGCTTTTCACTAAAGAAAGCTACATTGTGACCATCTTGACTAAGGACACCTCCAATTCCTACTCCAAAAGCATCACAAGCCACTTCAAAGCACTTAGAGAAATTGGGGAAGGTTAGAATAGGGGCTTTAGATAATTTATCTTTAATGTTTATAAAGGCTTGTGATGCGATAAGGATCCAATGAAATTTATCCTTCTTAAGGAAATTGATGATAGGGCTCATGATAGTACT